TCATTACTACGTACACACCTTGTCCAAACGCCCCCACCCCCCCCCCCCCCCCCCACTGTTCCCCGTAAATTCTTGTGTAGTTGGTTATTAAAACCGACAAGGTGGAGTAAGGGAAAAATGTGCAACATTGGGTATCTTTTTTTTAGCCCTTTCGCCATCCAGTGGCTTTTTCAATACAAAATTTTAAGGACATAACTTTAAGCAGTAGAAACTCATCTTCTGTACATTTGTTCTAGGGCTTTTAAGTTATGTCCCTTTAAATTTTTTTTTTTTAAAATTTAAAACCACTGGATTTTGGGGAAACGTCTTTCAATTAAAAATTTCCCAGGGTGTTGCCCCCATTTTTGTCTTACTTTTTCGTAAATTCTTTCTACCCAAAAAATCCCCCGCATAACCACGAAACCCCCTTTGTGGGGGATTCCTGCCCTGCTTATAATTCCCAAACCTTTCCGTTACCTCAAACAATTTGGGTTTGCGGGCCCCCGCCGCCTTGGGTTTTTATGCCCCCAAAAAAAAACCGTGACAGTTGGTTTCCCCAAAGCACTTCTTCCACCCTGCCTGAACCCCTTACAGCTTGAAACTTTACATTTTGCAACACCCTCAACCTCCCTTTGTTTCAGCTATTTCATCCATAGGAAAATTATTCCCACCCACCCCCCGCCATAGCAACCTCTTAACCTATCCTCTAAATAGTTAGCCAGTCCACATTTTAAATTATTAATACATGTTCCTTCTCTCACATAAACTTTCTAATCCTTTCCTTTGCAACACTATCCCATGTCACAATGTCATCTACTCCCTGTTCTTCCACACTAAGCTCCCTCCATAGGACTGAAAACCCCTCCAACCTCTCCTCATCACCTAACACACTTATATTTAATTTCCAATATCTTCTATATATGTCCGCGAGCGTCCCCCACGCAACCTCCACCACCACTGCCCTATGATCTGACATTGTAGCCTCAACAGTACTGAAAGATTTCACATCCACTCCCTGAGAAAGGTACACTCTATCTAGTCTCGCAGCATATCCACTCCTAACAAACATATATTCAGTCTCCCACACCGCCCCCCCAAAGGCATCACGTAACCTAACATCCCTTAATAAATCCCTAAGAGTCACAGACATATATCCAGCCCCTTTTGGGTCCACATCAGCCACCCTGGTTACACTATTCCAGTCCCCACCAACTATTGCCACCTCTTGCAGTGCACTTAAGAAAAGCACAAGATCCTAACACACAAAATCATTCTTTACCTTTATGTTATTTTCTGCCAGCACATACACACTCACAAAAGACACGCTTACCCATCCACCACCCATCCACATGCAACACCCTCCCTCCCCCTCCTCCCTCGCTTCTCTGCAAAACAAACGGGCTTGTCTCCCTTATTAAAATTCCCACACCACCTTTTAGACGGGGAGATGGCAGGGTAACTACTCGAAATCCTGCCACCTCCAACACCCTACCCTCTTTAAAATTGTGCTCCTGCAGGAACACAACATCCACTCTAGATTTATTCAGGAAATTACGAAACCAATCTCTCTTCATACCGCTACATAACCCATTAACATTTACAGACATACACCGAAGGCCTATTAAAGTTTCCACCCCTGCTTCCTCTCATCACTCTTTACAACTCCAGAGCTTGAATTTAAGTTTGACACCTTCAGAGTGTTCTCTTTCCCTCCCCCCTTCTTCTGGTGCCTCCTATCATGGCTACCACCACCTACACCACTACCTTCACACTTCACCTCAGTCTGTTTCCCAGGCCTTTGTGCAGGCGTAAGGACGTCATCAGAATCTGATGTAGCCGCCCTCTTTCTCGTGACAGTTATGTTGCACATGTTTTGGTCAGATGTTGCCTCTCGATGAACCTCCACCTCTACCTGAGAATGGTTTAATGATTCAACGGACGACTCCAAACCACCATCACGTCCCAAATTATGTCTCCGACTTTCTGGAACCGACGGCTCTCCGATGACACCTCGCTCAGATGTAACGTCCCTCTCTGGCGGTGACAGTCTTCAACACCTCCACCAATTCCTCCTCAATGTCAAGAACCTTCTCCTGTAATTGCTGCTCCTCCTTATCCACAGGAGACGATACCTGATCAGGCAGCAGAGGGAGGGACTCCAACTCACCGCCAGTCCTGTGTGCCCGATCCACTATCTCGCTCCACAAAACACCACGCCCTCCATCCGATGTTTGTTTCTCACCTGCCACCTTTGAAGCAGGGACTGCGACGTCCACCACAGGTCCAGGCACACGTCTTCGCTTGTCACAGGTCGCCGCTATGTGATCATACTCACCACATAGGCGGCATGTACGTCGTTGTCCTGGGTACATTACCATTACCTGCGTCCTGAAATCTTGTAGATACACATAGGATGGTATTGGGTGCCTCAAAGGCATTTTGAGGTTGAAAGAACCCTCTAGAAAACCAGCATAGGCCCCTGCCGCCCACGTACCATGTTGAGCATAATGCACCGTCCCATATGTCTCAAAAACTTTCCTTATATCTGCCTCGTCCGCCTCAAAGGGAACGTTGCGTAACTTGATCCACGTATAATGCAGTGAAACATCTATCATTCTTACACTGACCGCTGGTGTGACGCTAAGACTTACGTCCTGAAACCTGGTGACTAACGATTCATAAACCGTAGCTGATAGCAGTTTGACGAAAATTCTTTGGCCTCCGTTTAATGCTACACCATACAAGTCACTATCTTGTATGCCATGTGTCTCCCGGATGATCTTCGGCAATAAGACTTGCGCAGAACAAGGCATTATCCTTCCTTTAAGTAGCTCAATGCCTACAGTATTTATCCTGCGTCTCAGACTAACCGCCATCTTGACAATCACAGTGCACCTATGTTGTTAACAGAGGCGTGACAGCACCACTTCACACCGCTGCAGCCAGGTAACTGACAGGGGAGCTCGCCTACAAATAGCAGAGGGGTGCAGAGCACAACCGCACTCTACCGTGGTCAGGCAGCGAATGATCTAAGTCCGATTTAGGTGGAATATCCCTATCAACTTTAAAGTATAAAAAGTATTTTCCTTTACCTAAATGCGCTGGTAGAAATATTTTTTAAAATGATAAATTTTCAGATTGATTTGTAATCTTTAGGTAATTATGGACGATCGTCAACCATTTAGGCAGTCACCTCGAAGGTGACAAAGTGGAACTCATGAATGGTCAATCTAGACACTTCAGAAGTTAAATATTAGTGTCAAGGTTCGTCTAACACTGCGCCACACTATACTGCAGAATTGCATGGAAAGCGAATCTCAAGTGTTTGGGTGTCGGGAAGCGGGTGTGTGAGTCAGCACTGTCTGATAGACAAGGGATACAAGTACATATATAATATATATATATATATATATATATATATATATATATATATATATATATATTATATATATATATATATATATATATATATATATATATATATTTTGTGAATGATGAATCACGTATTGCACGCTCCCAGCAACCATGTCATGACTCTGACAAGCCGAGTCACAAGTAAAAATATAAACTCAGCACTTATCTCATGTTTTTAAGTCCGTTTAAAAAGGCATTAATGTGAGACCTATGTTTATACCGTCCACCAGTGTTTACAGCATTTGTGTACCATCCACCAGTGTATGATACACTTCTGTTGTCTACACTTAAGTGCTTGCTACACTAAAGTGTTTAGATATAATCAAAACTTTAGTCGTAACTTTTAATTTCTTAATATAAACATGTTAGGTTAGACACATATGCAACAGTTAGACAACTTTATTCCGAAACGTTTCGCCTACACAGTAGGCTTCTTCAGTCGAATACAGAAAGTAGGCAGGAACAGTAGAGATGTGAAGACGATGTAATCAGTCCATCACCCTTAAAGTCGTAGAATTTGAGGTTGTCAGTCCCTCAGCCTGGAGAAGTTCAGTTCCATAGTCAGGAACTATCAGAAGATCAAGCGAATAAAGTTTCGGAATAAAGTTGTCTAACTGTTGCATATGTGTCTAACCTAACAACCTGTCGGTATTGTATACCATTTTGATGTTAATATAAACATTTCAGAATAGTTTGCTTTCATAGACCTAAAAAATATAAATACATTTCCAATGGGCTTACATAAAATTTACTAATTCAGCACATCTTGTCATTTGATCAGAGTGCGAGGCGATACCAAATTTCTAAGATAGTTTTAACAATTGGTTTAAAATACCGACATGTTGATAAATAAGAAACTTGGGTAACATTTGGCAATATTCTGGAAACGTTTCGCCAGCCAGTGGCTTTTTCAGTCCATTGCAGACTGATGAATCCACTGTGTGGCGAACCATTTCCTCGATAAAGATTCCCATATGTTGCACAAGTGTCTCATTCTTCTATTTTGATGACAGTTTATAAGGCGCCAAGAGTCGTATTTTATTAAGGGCTGAACCCGAGTGGGTCATTCAGCCCGAGTAGTGGTGGAGGCTTGATCCTCCGTCCACTTATTCTTGCCTGGCTTCTAACCAGTCAGTGTGTTGGTGACCTTAAGCTAGGAGAACATTTCTTGGTGATATCTGAACATTCTGGTATTATAACTTAGGTCATCTCGTTGCAACCAGGCATATTGTGCTTTCCTTCTTCAAATATAAATAACTGTAACCCTTGATTACAGAAGTCTGGAAATGTATTTTTTTCTGTAACAGTAACATGGATTGTGTTGGTTCGCAGTTGTGTGTTAGTGCTAATGTTTTCCTTTACATAAACACATTATATCTCGGAGACTTGAGCGGGACTGATGAAAAACCGCTATCTCCAACAATGGTCACTCAGACCAAGGTGCAAACACAGCCGTAAAACAGATAAGAGTATACACGAGTAAACTTTCTCAGACAGTTAATCATGACGCATGAGTAAGACAAGCGGTTAGGTCTGTGACCAAAAATGACCCAGAAAACTAATCAATTCGCATTTAACAATCAACAAGAGTATGAGTGGGAATTAACCTGTCTTCAAGTTTTCCGTGAGCCAGGCCGTAAGAGGTGGCCTGGGCACTATTCACACTGACACAGCGACCTGATTTGAGTGGGTAGATGGTCAGTTCACTCACCTCTCCCACCTCTTCCCACCTGGAGGAGCCACAGATAAACAAGTAGTTAGAAAGCAATGATCTGTAATTAAATACAAAAGTATACAAAATACAAATTTGGTGTAGGTGACTCTACCAAGGAAAAAATAAATAAATGAAAAGTACTATCTATACTGGTATATCACTTCAGAAACTACAATATATATATATATATATATATATATATATATATATATATATATATATATATATATATATATATATATATATATATATATATATATATGTCGTGCCGAATAGGCAGAACTTGCGATCTTGCCATATAGGACAAGTGAAAATTTGTGTATGCAATAATTTCACCAAAATCATTCTGAACCTAACGAAAAAAATATATTTGATTGTGTTTGTTTAGTATTAAATTACTGTAAACGTATTTAAAATATATTTAGTTGGGTTAGGCTAAAATAAATTGCGTTTGTTATAATAAGGTTAGGTAAGTTTTCTAAGTTCCTTTTGGTGCAAAATTATAAATTTTTGCATCAAAAATATATCTTTAAAAGTATAAGAGAAAATTTTAGAAAGGACTTAATTTTAAATGAGTTCTTGCTAATTGACCAGTTTTACATATTCGGCACGACATATATGTATATATATAATATATATATATATATATATAATATATATATATATATATATATATATATATATATATATATATATATATATATATATATGTGTGTGTGTGTGTGTGTGTGTGTGTGTATGTATATGTGTGTGTGTGTGTGTATGTATATGTGTGTGTGTGTGTGTGTGGTGTGTGTGTGTGTGTGTGTAAATTGTATTTTTCTGATCCTCTTCCTCATTGTCTCCACGTAATTTTGTATGTACAGTTACTATAGAAATTATCAGTAATCTTGTATTCAAAAAAAGAAGAGCAGAGTATCGAAGAAGAGATTCACTGAAAAAAGTCTCACATGAACTGAAGATGTTGAGCAGAACGCTGCCGCCACACCCACCACACAGCCACCGCCCCCACGCCCACACTCACGCCCACACTCACTCCCACACCCACGGCCGTCTTAGTCACCATCTGAAGCAGAACGAAATATAAATTTATTCCACTTCACCATCGAGATGAAAAGAAATAATAAGAACATAAACTATTAAGAGAAAATAGAAGAAAACTAGATGAGTGTGTATACATATACTTGTGTATGTATATGTAGTATGACCTAAGTGTTTACCTGGAGTTTACCTGGAGAGAGTTTCGGGGGTCAACGCCCCCGCGGCCCGGTCTGTGACCAGGCCTCCTGGTGGATCAGCGCCTGATCAACCAGGCTGTTGCTGCTGGCTGCACGCAAACCAACGTACGAGCCACAGCCCGGCTGATCAGGAACTGACTTTAGGTGCTTGTCCAGTGCCAGCTTGAAGACTGCCAGGGGTCTGTTGGTAATCCCCCTTATGTGTGCTGGGAGGCAGTTGAACAGTCTCGGTCCCCTGACACTTATTGTATGGTCTCTTAACGTGCTAGTGACACCCCTGCTTTTCATTGGGGGGATGGTGCATCGTCTGCCAAGTCTTTTGCTTTCGTAGTGAGTGATTTTCGTGTGCAAGTTCGGTACTAGTCCCTCTAGGATTTTCCAGGTGTATATAATCATGTATCTCTCCCTCCTGCGTTCCAGGGAATACAGGTTTAGAAACCTCAAGCGCTCCCAGTAATTGAGGTGTTTTATCTCCGTTATGCGCGCCGTGAAAGTTTCTCTGTACATTTTCTAGGTCGGCAATTTCACCTGCCTTGAAAGGTGCTGTTAGAGTGCAGCAATATTCCAGCCTAGATAGAACAAGTGACCTGAAGAGTGTCATCATGGGCTTGGCCTCCTAGTTTTGAAGGTTCTCATTATCCATCCTGTCATTTTTCTAGCAGATGCGATTGATACAATGTTATGGTCCTTGAAGGTGAGATCCTCCGACATAATCACTCCCAGGTCTTTGACGTTGGTGTTTCGCTCTATTTTGTGGCCAGAATTTGTTTTGTACTCTGATGAAGATTTAATTTCCTCATGTTTACCATATCTGAGTAATTGAAATTTCTCATCGTTGAACTTCATATTGTTTTCTGCAGCCCACTGAAAGATTTGGTTGATGTCCGCCTGGAGCCTTGCAGTGTCTGCAATGGAAGACACTGTCATGCAGATTCGGGTGTCATCTGCAAAGGAAGACACGGTGCTGTGGCTGACATCCTTGTCTATGTCGGATATGAGGATGAGGAACAAGATGGGAGCTAGTACTGTGCCTTGTGGAACAGAGCTTTTCACCGTAGCTGCCTCGGACTTTACTCTGTTGACGACTACTCTCTGTGTTCTGTTAGTGAGGAAATTATAGATCCATCGACCAACTTTTCCTGTTATTCTTTAGCGCGCATTTTGTGCGCTATTACGCCATGGTCACACTTGTCGAAGGCTTTTGCAAAGTCTGTATATATTACATCTGCATTCTTTTTGTCTTCTAGTGCATTTAGGACCTTGTCGTAGTGATCCAGTAGTTGAGACAGACAGGAGCGACCTGTTCTAAACCCATGTTGCCCTGGGTTGTGTAACTGATGGGTTTCTAGATGGGTGGTGATCTTGCTTCTTAGGACCCTTTCAAAGATTTTTATGATATGGGATGTTAGTGCTATTGGTCTGTAGTTCTTTGCTGTTGCTTTACTGCCCCCTTTGTGGAGTGGGGCTATGTCTGTTGTTTTTAGTAACTGAGGGACGACCCCCGTGTCCATGCTCCCTCTCCATAGGATGGAAAAGGCTCGTGATAGGGGCTTCTTGCAGTTCTTGATGAACACAGAGTTCCATGAGTCTGGCCCTGGGGCAGAGTGCATGGGCATGTCATTTATCGCCTGTTCGAAGTCATTTGGCGTCAGGATAACATCGGATAGGCTTGTGTTAATCAAATTTTGTGGCTCTCTCATAAAAAATTCATTTTGATCTTCGACTCTCAGTCTGGTTAGCGGCTTGCTAAAAACTGAGTCATATTGGGACTTGAGTAGCTCACTCATTTCCTTGCTGTCATCTGTGTAGGACCCATCTTGTTTAAGTAGGGGCCCAATACTGGACGTTGTTCTCGATTTTGATTTGGCATAGAGAAGAAATACTTTGGGTTTCTTTCGATTTCATTTATGGCTTTTAGTTCTTCCCGCGATTCCTGACTCCTAAAGGATTCTTTTAGCTTAAGTTCGATGCTTGCTATTTCTCTGACCAGTGTCTCCCTGCGCATTTCTGATATATTGACCTCTTTTAGCCGCTCTGTTATTCTTTCCGTCGCCTGTAAAGGGAGCGCCTGTCTCTTTCTTTTTACATCTACTCCTCCTTTTTCTTAGAGGAATAAGCCTTGTGCATACATCGAGTGCCACCGAGTTAATCTGTTCTAGGCATAAGTTTGGGTCTGTGTTGCTTAGTATATCTTCCCAGTTATATCGGTTAGGACTTGGTTTACTTGGTCCCACTTTATGTTTTTTTATTGAAGTTGAATTTTGGGGAAGCCCCTCGTGTTTTTCATTTTGTCGGGCTGGGGCTCCACGCAAATGTCTGAACCCAAAAAATGTTGTGATTGAGTAATTGTTTTTGATATGGTGACATTTCTTACGATCTCATTGTTAGTGAAGATGAGGTCTTGTTTCTCCGTCTGTAGGCCTATTTTTTGTGGTTTAAAAAGATTTTGTGCAGAGATTTTAAAATCGTGTGACCCCCCCATGAGTTTAAAAAAAAACCTGTCTTAAAACTGTGTAGGGTTCCTGCCTCCACTACGTCATTTTCTAGGTTATTCCACTCCCTGACAACTCTATGACGAAGAAATACTTCCTAATATCTCTCTGACTCATTTGTGTCTTCAATTCCAATTGTGGCCTCTTGTTTCTGTGCCCCCTCCCTGGAACATCCTGTCTTTGTCCACCTTGTCTATTACACGCAGTATTTTATATGTCGTTATCATGTCTCCCCTGACCCTCCTGTCCTCCAGTGTCGTCAGGCCAATTTCCCTTAATCTTTCTTCATAGGACATTCCCCTTAGCTCTGGAACTAACCTTGTCGCAAACCTTTGTACTTTCTCTAGTTTCTTGACGTGCTTTATCAAGTGCGGGTTCCAAACAGGTGCTGCATACTCCAGTATGGGCCTGACATACACGGTGTACAGTGTCTTGAACGATTCCTTACTAAGGTATCGGAATGCTGTTCTCAGGTTTGCCAGGCGCCCATATGCTGCAGCAGTTATCTGATTGATGTGTGCTTCCGGAGACATACTCGGTGTTATACTCACCCCAAGATCTTTCTCCTTGAGTGAGGTTTGCAGTCTTTGGCCACCTAGCCTATACTCTGTCTGTGGTCTTCTGTGCCCTTCCCCTATCTTCATGACTTTGCATTTGGCAGGATTAAATTCGAGAAGCCATTTGCCGGACCAGGTGTCCAGTCTGTCCAGGTCTCTTTGAAGTCCTGCCTGGTCCTCATCTGAGTTAATTCTCCTCATTAACTTCACATGTGTGTGTGTGTGTGTGTGTGTGTGTGTGTGTGTGTGTGTGTGTGTGTGTGTGTGTGTGTGTGTGTGTGTGACTGGTTTTAAAACTTATGTATCTTATACTTTGTGAGAAAGATCGAACTGGTAAAGGGCTTTGTAAAATCCACTTTATGTTTAGGTTCCCCAAGAAGTACCTTTAAGTAACTGGCAGATACTTTTATTTATTTCCTGTGCGGGTATCGTTTATAACTTGCCTCTTCCAATAGCCTTCAAATTTTCAACAAAGATGGACTGTAATTATGGAGGTTCATGCAACTGTTGACATGTACATATTCATTCAGGTCTAATTTATGTAGACCATTTTTATTTTGATATCGTTGCAATAACTAGAGAAAGTCTTTTCTGATCGGCTTCTGCGTTTAACCCTGACGTGTCCTGTTCAGGACAACGCTGGAATTTATTCTGGAGTGTGTAAGTAAGTAAGTAAGTAAGTTTATTCAGGTATACACAAATACAGTTACATAGAATTATCATACATAGCAGCATATGTGTAGAGAACCTAGGATAACCCAAAAAAGTCAGACAGAGTGACTTATTTCCATTGGGGTCCTGGCAACGTACCAATTTTATTTTTTAATATGCATTATTACTTTCCTTGAAATATCTTGAATATGCCTTATTAGAATAAATTGTGTCGTTAATGACTGATACTTATTATGAGAAGTATAATACTCTCAAGGTTAGGCTCTGTAAATGCAAATTCGCCAATTTAATAACATAGCAGATAAACCTGGAATATTTGGAATCTATGCGATAACTAGACAATACATCTTCTGATTGTGTGTTCTGCTCAAAGCAAAATTTGCATTGTTGCGTATGTCTCAATTTGCAAACAAGCTTTACTAAACAAAGTGGTTTCAGAGCAATTACCAAGGAATGCCTTCTCCTTTCTGATTCGCCGGTATTCTCCCGGCCCGGGCCTTTTCCAAGTGGTGGCCCGGCCTTGGCTCCCTGTCGAGGGAGTGTCTGAGACTTAAGTCTCCCATGGGAGGAGGCACAAATACCCCCCTCATCGTTTGGGACTAACTGTCCCCAGGCCTAGCCACATTCCCCGCCCTCACGGGGCTCGTAGGGAGAAACTAGGCCTCTCTGGTCTGCCATCCCCGCCCCAAGGGGGCTAATGGGAATGACAGTCTTGTGAGCTGCAAGCTCTGGCTCAGGCACTTACCCTACCCTAGAAGGGCTGGGCATGGTGCCTCTTCTGATCACTGTCAAAGTTAAACGCCGTCGTGACTTGCTTGGAAAAGGGTTTATGAGGATTTTGGGCTGTGCAGGTGCCAATTTGCTAATTTTATCGAATTAGGAAAATGAAAATTTTGGTTTCGATACAATTATTTGTGGCTGCTGGTGAGTTTTGGGAAATTCGTCATTGTGTAATTGCTACTGGACGCCTCTTCTGATGGGCTTTCAACTTTTAAAGCTAATGTTTACTACCTAGTCGAGGTTCAAATTGGTTTTGGGCTATATAGTTGGCCATATATACAGTGTAATTTATATATATTATTACAATGAAGGGAAGCACAGGCTCAGTTCCTTCTACCAAGAGCCCATCAACGGTGTATAGGAGCCACCTTGAGGTGGAGAGAGCGCTAGAGACTCACCTGTGTGCTGGTGTCAGGTTGGTACTGAACCCAGATACCCTGCTACACGAGGCTCCCAACCAGCGCTATCTCTTATCTCCCAGACGATCTAGCAGATGATCTAGCAGGCGTAAAATAACCAAGACAAAGAGTCATTATGGACTGATCACATCATATTGACTTCTCCACTGCTTCTGATGTCTCCACTTCTGGTCACTTCTGTATTCGACTGAAGAGGTCTACTATATAGACGAAACGTTTTGGAAATATACTTGTGGAAAATACTGTATATATTTTCCGGAAATACGGTAATTTATATGTAAATAGATGGCCATACTGTATTTAAAAGAATTATATTATGGAAAATGGGAAACTGGACCTGCGCCTGGGCAGACAGGAGACTCGCCATCTTGGTTTTGAATTGGATACAAGGTTAGTGTAATGGGAAGGAATTTTCGTGCTCTAGAGGTTAAAATTGGGCTGACACCTCTCAAATAGGAGGCGAAATTGTTGGACATGCATTCCTGCATAACTTGAGATATCAGACGACTGGACAAGACAGCTCCTGGAACCTCAGATAAGCTCTCTAGATTTGTGTATAATTCTGGCCAGTGTTTTCATAAATTTAGTCAGTGAGGTTTTTCTGAGTATGATACAACTTAATATCCAGTCAAATTGGTGAGTGATATTAAGATATATTTTCCTTCTGTTATGTAATTGTGTATATATATAACCATTTATTATTTTTAATATACAGTCCACAAATTTATATATTTACCAGTATTCCTGGTGTATGTATATTTCATTTAATTAATAGGTCCAGAGCAACTTGTGGTTATGACAGTGGTAGGTATCGAAGGGGGACATTTTTGCGACCTAGGTGTCCCAAATTCCTACTTGTCTATGTAACATTGATAAATAATAATTATCTTTGTTATCATTTACTGTTATGTACATAATTAGTTACATTCAGATAAATGTAATTTTCCACAATACTAAAGTGTTACACGAGATTTAATACTCAACCAACGCAAGGATTATTATACTTTTATTTTGTGATTTTAAGGTAGTCCAGTGTGATGAAAATTTAAGCAATTCAAAGTTTAAATAATATTTAATGCACTGATGAATTTGTTCATACACAAATTAAACTGAATGGGCACTATCCTGGCAGTAAGATGCATCAACTATTCCCAACTAAATAGTGGATTATCCTAATAGTTATAATGATAACCATGATTCTTAAGGAGGTGGACGGGTAAGCCAGCTGGAATCCTCAGACAGATGACCAAAAGCTCCAGCTGTGGGTCATCATATGACTGAGACCCGTGTCAGGAAACACTTGTCCTGTTTCCTGACAAATATTTTACCTGCCATCAACCATTATGTAATGAAGCCATTCACAAGAGGTAGACACATATATTTTGACCGGGATCATTAAATGGGAATCAAAATTTAACATAATATTATACATAAAATGGTCATATTTTCACCTACTCTTCCTCCTCCGTAAGCCAGGCGTGTCGTAAGAGGCGACTAATATGCTGGGAGCAAAGGGCTGGTAACCCCTTCTGTATAAATTACTAAATTTAAAACGAAAAACTTTCGTTTTTCTTTTTAAGTCACCATGCCTCGGTAGGATAAGGCCGGTTTGTTGAAAAAAAAAAGAGAGAAAATCTTCATCTACCCACCTGAATTACACTCACCGCCGTCGGCAGTTTTATTGAACGGTTGAAGTTACGCCTGTAAAGGTTTTGGAAATTATCGGAGTCACCCCTGGATGCTGGCGGTGGGGTTAACAACTTTGGTTATAAAGCACCTGCACATGCCAAGTGATCCTCGAATTTGGTCCTTGTTACCGTACACAAGACTTCTAAATTTGAATCTAATAAAGGTTCGAGCCAAGGAAGGGGAGGGCAAGTCCAATTTCTTGGATCAGGAACCCTTCACCGGCGACAAGGAACATCCCTCAACGGGGGATCTATTTTTTAATAAAAACACATTTGTTGGGTTCATAAAAAAACTTAGAGACTTTTGTTTATTTTGCATAAGTTATATATCTTAAAAACTAAAAATCACAATATGTTTGAGTGAGCACAGAAAAATTACCTGAAAGCTTTCATTTGGCACTATCCCGTCAGTCACTTTGTCCATCAAATATGAGAATACACGATTAAATCACTTTAGTCCTAGGCATTTCATTTTACACATTCACAACTGTATCTGATTTACTGTACACTTTGTCTCTAGACTCATACACTGTCTATAAGCACGGCAAATTGTTTTCAGCAACTTTCATGACACGTTATAAACTAACATATGTCTCTGGTTGTCATCACACAGGAAGTCCAGAGCTATCACAAACGAGTGTACTCTTTAATTACATCCTTATCGTTGTCCATTTGAGGGTCCCTCTTAGAGAGATTTTGTTGTTGGCACTAGTGGTGAATGGTTCATTTTGATTTGGTGGTGATCTCTCCAGCACTCACTGTGAAGCTTAAGCTGAGCAAACGCTGAAGGAGGGCTACCATCCTTTAACTGTGGCTCATTGGATAAAACATCCTAATTAAAGTCAGTATTCCACTGTTACTTAGTGCATATGTGACCGTGACACTGGAATGAAACAATTTTATACGTTATTGCATTTATTGTCGTTATGAAATAAATGGAATACACACACTTTCTCACTTCGACGTTCCTCGTCCAAATCTGGTTTTGGGTGGTTGCTCGTATAAGTGTCCTCTGGTGACTTACACACGCCGTCGGGAGTGGTCCTCGGGTTCGTAAAGAGGGAGCGTAAGGGTGGACGAGTCTTTTCAGTGTTAGGATTTCTATATCCAGGGACAGGAACAGTTTGATTTGTCCGTGCCAGGTCTTCGACCCAGCTGGTGGAGGGAGGCTCCGTCGTGGTCACCCACACACTATCGTCATTATCATTGAAAGGTTCTGAATTATGTATGCTTTCCAGAAGAGAAGACTTCCGGGGATATTTTCTCGGAAAAAGTAAATTAAGTTTCGTTTGTATTCTGTCATGAAGAGTATGATAATGGTTGTAGAGAGTGTCAGAGCTCTCGCATTTACCTCGAACTTTGCCATCTTCGTCGATGTGGGCCTGGTTAACGAATCCTGCCTCCAGTACTCGTGGTATTTCTTGGGCGGATCCCGGCCCTCCAGACGTATTAAAAGAATCCACAACATCGTCAGGAAGGTACTGGTGAGTCTCCACGATGTTTCGTATTTCATTTTCCATGGCCTCGGCAGCCGTGGCGCTGTGCTCCTCCACCATCGTCTGCACTATATCCAGCAGATTGTTGATATGGTGCAGCGACTCCAGTCCATCCACACGGGCCTGCAACACACCGGCATTACTTTCTTTTGCCTTAACTATACAAAACACTGTTTTGTATCCAGACCTTACATTGCTCTAGCACTCCTGTTATGTATTGACCAAATACTACAATAACACTTTTGTATCCTGACTACACACTACACTAACACTGCTGTTGTAGCCTGACTACACACTACACTAACACTTTTGTTGTATCCTCACTACATACTAAGAGATAAGATTTTCTTCGGATTTTTAACCCCGTAGGGTTAGCTATCCAGGATAACCCAAGAAAGTCAGTGCTTCATCGAAGACTGTCTAACTTCAATATTTCCGTTGGGGTCCTTAATCTTGCCCCCCCCCCCCCAAGGATGCGACCCACACTAGTCGACTAACACCCAGGTACCTATTTGCTGCTAGGTGAACAGGACAACAGGTGTAAGGAAACACGTCGAAATGTTTCCACCCGCCGGGAATCGAACCCGGGCCCTCCGTGTGTGAAGTGGGAGCTTTAGCCTCCAGCCCACTACACTAGCACTCTTGTTGTATCATCGATAAATGCTGCACTAACACTCTTGTTGTATCATTACACACTACACTAACACTTGTTTATTATGACTACACATTACATTAACACTTGTGTCCTCATCACACACCACACTAAGGTGTGTTCTGGGTATGGAATAGAAGTTGTGTATGGGGATTTCACGACTGTGTAGGGTTAGTGGTCCCTATTTCAGTCATGAAATTCAGCTCGAGGCTGCTGCCCGACCCTAGCTCCTGAAATAAAAGGTACTCACCCCTATTCTTCACAGGAGGCAATGTGAATGTGATAGACCACGGCTTTACCTAGGCTCTCTCTGGCGAGGGAGTTAGTTAACCTTGACGCAGATACCAGAGAACAAGCACACACTCAATACAACTGGTATACTTATAAACAATATAAACAAGGTGTTAGTTGTGCGTACACCTGAGAATACCTATTTGGGGAGTCACTGGCGACGGTCTAGTCTGTCGTGAGCTTAATGGAACAAACCCATTATCTGTCTTAGTGCTGGTGGAAATGACATCCGGAATGGCAGGAGACAGGAGCTGCTGGGAGACAGGAGCTGCTGGATAAGTATAGGTCAGCCATAGATGTAGTTAGGTCTAAGGGAGGGATCCCAATCATATGTAGCATCTTGCCTAGAAGGGGAGTAGGCAATGAATGGATGTCTAGGGCAATTGGTATGAACTGCTGGCTAGACAGGTACTGCAAGGAACTTGCAATCCCATTCATTGATAACTGGGACATATTCTAGGGCAAGCATGATATGTATGCAAGGGATGGGGTTCATCTCTCTGGGGCTGGAGTAGTTACATTAGCCAATTCGATTGAGGGGGTTATTGATGACTTGTCTAGGACTTTAAACTGATAGATTATAGAGGTATGGGTGTTTGTGGGAAACAATCAGGCTGCAGTACTAGGGTTGAAGACAGCAGATATAACCAAGATACCTCAGGAATATGTTTAAAAGACAATATTCAAAATAAAGTTGCTAGTAAACGCAAAGCAATTGATCAACAAACAAAGAGAGATAGTAGAAGGCAAGGAGTGACTAGCTCCCTTAAAGTTTACTATATAAATAGTAGGAGTCTAAGAAATAAGATAGGTGAGCTAGGATTACTTCAAGTGCAGGTAATATAGATATTATTGCTATAACAGAGACCTGGTTCAACTTGATAGAGAAATGCCCTTTGAATGCAACATACAGGGTTATAAACTATTCCATACTTATAGAGTCAACAGGAAGGGTGGTGGAGTGGCGATGTATGTCAGAGATAATTTAAATTATTGTGTTAGACAAGATATAAGATTAGAAATATTGGACACAGAATCTGTTTAGCTATAGTTTCTCGAGAGTCGTGAGAAGTTAATTTTGGGTGTGATTTATAGGCCCCAAACCTTGCTAGAGAGTGCAGTAAGCTGCTATGGGACGAAATTCATAAGGCATCTAGATATGAAAATATTGTGTTAATGGAAGATTTTAATTTTATACAAATTGATTCGAACAATGTAACAGGAAATCTTGAGTCTAGTGACTTTCTTGATTCGGTTCAGATTGCTTTCTAAAATAGTTTGTGACAGAACCAACTAGAGGAAACAATCTACTTGACTTGGTTCTTGCCAACAAATCACTAGTTAATAATCTTGAGGTTATGAGGTTAAAGATGAGCTAGAGGAAAGTGATCACAAATCACTTAGTTTCAATATATCAAATCTCTGTCCCAGACTTTCGCTTGGCCGATTTCATGGGACTGAAAAATTACCTGGGTGGGCTAAATTGCGATGATCTGACTATGGGTCAGATAGGTGGTTTTGGTTGCCAATATGACGTTTTTCAGAGCATAGTTCTAGCTGCCCAGACAACTTTGTTCTGAGTAGGGAAATTAGATCTAACAAAAATGATCCCAAATGGATGAACAATAGATTAAAACATCTCATCGGTCAAAAGAGAGGCATATATAGGCGTATCAAAAGAGGGGATGGACAGTTAAGAGATCAATATATTCAATTAAAGAGAGAAATAAAAAAAGGAATAAGAAAAGCAAAAAGGGATTATGAGGCTAAGGTCGCAAGGGGTTAGAAGACTAACCCAAAAGGGTTCTTTCAGGTATACAGAAGTAAGATTAGAGACAAGATAGGCCCACTTAAGAGTAACTCAGGTCAGATCACTGACAGTGATAATTATTATTTATTATTATCACACCGGCCGATTCCCACCAAGGCAGGGTGGCCCGAAAAAGAAAAACTTTCACCATCATTCACTCCATCACTGTCTTGCCAGAAGGGTGCTTTACACTACAGTTTTTAAACTGCAACATTAACACCCCTCCTTCAGAGTGCAGGCACTGTACTTCCCATCTCCAGGACTCAAGTCCGGCCTGCCGGTTTCCCTGAATCCCTTCATAAATGTTACTTTGCTCACACTCCAACAGCACGTCAAGTATTAAAAACCATTTGTCTCCATTCACTCCTATCAAACACCTCACGCATGCCTGCTGGAAGTCCAAGCCCCTCGCACACAAAACCTCCTTTACCCCCTCCCTCCAACCCTTCCTAGGCCGACCCCTACCCCGCCTTCCTTCCACTACAGACTGATACACTCTTGAAGTCATTCTGTTTCGCTCCATTCTCTCTACATGTCCGAACCACCTCAACAACCCTTCCTCAGCCCTCTGGACAACAGTTTTGGTAATCCCGCACCTCCTCCTAACTTCCAAACTACGAATTCTCTGCATTATATTCACACCACACATTGCCCTCAGACATGACATCTCCACTGCCTCCAGCCTTCTCCTCGCTGCAACATTCATCACCCACGCTTCACACCCATATAAGAGCGTTGGTAAAACTATACTCTCATACATTCCCCTCTTTGCCTCCAAGGACAAAGTTCTTTGTCTCCACAGACTCCTAAGTGCACCACTCACTCTTTTTCCCTCATCAATTCTATGATTCACCTCATCTTTCATAGACCCATCCGCTGACACGTCCACTCCCAAATATCTGAATACGTTCACCTCCTCCATACTCTCTCCCTCCAATCTGATATTCAATCTTTCATCACCTAATCTTTTTGTTATCCTCATAACCTTACTCTTTCCTGTATTCACCTTTAATTTTCTTCTTTTGCACACCCTACCAAATTCATCCACCAATCTCTGCAACTTCTCTTCAGAATCTCCCAAGAGCACAGTGTCATCAGCAAAGAGCAGCTGTGACAACTCCCACTTTGTGTGTGATTCTTTATCTTTTAACTCCACGCCTCTTGCCAAGACCCTCGCATTTACTTCTCTTACAACCCCATCTATAAATATATTAAACAACCACGGTGACATCACACATCCTTGTCTAAGGCCTACTTTTACTGGAAAAAATTTCCCTCTTTCCTACATACTCTAACTTGAGCCTCACTATCCTCGTAAAAACTCTTCACTGCTTTCAGTAACCTACCTCCTACACCATACACTTGCAACATCTGCCACATTGCCCCCCTATCCACCCTGTCATACGCCTTTTCCAAATCCATAAATGCCACAAAGACCTCTTTAGCCTTATCTAAATACTGTTTCACTTATATGTTTCACTGTAAACACCTGGTCCACACACCCCCTACCTTTCCTAAAGCCTCCTTGTTCATCTGCTATCCTATTCTCCGTCTTACTCTTAATTCTTTCAATTATAACTCTACCATACACTTTACCAGGTACACTCAACAGACTTATCCCCCTATAATTTTTGCACTCTCTTTTATCCCCTTTGCCTTTATACAAAGGAACTATGCATGCTCTCTGCCAATCCCTAGGTACCTTACCCTCTTCCATACATTTATTAAATAATTGCACCAAACACTCCAAAACTATATCCCCACCTGCTTTTAACATTTCTATCTTTATTCCATCAATCCCGGCTGCCTTACCCCCTTTCATTTTACCTACTGCCTCACGAACTTCCCCCACACTCACAACTGGCTCTTCCTCACTCCTACAAGATGTTATTCCTCCTTGCCCTATACACGAAATCACAGCTTCCCTATCTTCATCAACATTTAACAATTCCTCAAAATATTCCTTCCATCTTCCCAATACCTCTAACTCTCCATTTAATAACTCTCCTCTCCTATTTTTAACTGACAAATCCATTTGTTCTCTAGGCTTTCTTAACTTGTTAATCTCACTCCAAAACTTTTTCTTATTTTCAACAAAATTTGTTGATAACATCTCACCCAATAATTATATGTGTGAAATTTTCAAATCTTACTTCCTCTCAGTTTTTACTCAGGAAGATACTAGCAAAATTCCAGAAATAATAGATTACGTAAAACAGGACGATAATAAACTATGCACGATTATGGTAACTAGTGACATGGTCCTCGGACAAATAGAGAAATTGAAAGCTAACAAATCCCCAGGCCCTGATGAACTCTTTGCAAGGGTGTTAAAGGAATGTAAAGAAGAACTTACTATACCTTTGGCTAATCTTTTCGACATATCACTACAAACTGGCATAGTGCCTCACAAGTGGAAAATGGCAAATGTAATACCTATTTACAAGGCAGGTGACAGATCCACAGCTTCTAACTATGGACCAATAAGCCTTACCTCCATAGTGGGAAAATTTATGGAATCAATAACTGCCAAAACAATTCGTAGCCATCTCGAAAGGCATAAATTGATTAATGAATCTCAGCATGGTTTTACAAAGGGGCGTTCCTGTCTTACGAATTTCCTAACTTTCTTCACTAAGGTTTTTGAGGAGGTAGATCATGGTATTGAATATGATATTGTGTATATGGACTTCAGTAAGGCTTCCGATAGAGTTCCACATTAGAAGCTATTGAGGAAACTTATGGCACACGGAATAGGAAGATAATTTTTTTCCTGGGTTGAGGCATGGTTGACGAATAAGCAGCAGAGAGTTTGCATAAATGGGGAGAAATCAGAATGAGGGTACGTCACAAGCGGTGTTCCGCAGGGATCAGTGTTGGGCCCGTTGTTGCTCACAGTCTACATAAACGACATAGAAGAGGGAATAAATAGCGACATAAGCAAATTTGCTGATGACGCCAAAATAGGCCATCTAATTCAATCTAATGAGGACATTAGAGCACTCCAGGATGATTTGAATAGACTCATGCAATGGTCGGAGCAGTGTCAGATGCAGTTTAATACAGACAAATGAAAAGTTCTAAATGTTGGACAGGAAAATAACCATGTCCACATATAAACTAAATAATGCAGATTTTAATATTACAGATTGCAAAAAGGATTTGGGAGTTCTGGTTAGCAGTAATCTAAAACCAAGATAACAGTGTGTTAGTATTCGCAATAAAGCTAACAGAATCCTTGGCTTCATATCAAGAAGTATAAATAGTAGAAGTCCTCAGGTTGTTCTTCAACTCTATATATCTTTGGTTAGGCCTCTTTAGATTATGCTGCACAGTTTTGGTCACCGTATTACAGAATGGATATAAATGCACTGGAAAACATACAAAGGAGGATGACAAAGTTGATCTCATGTATCAGAAATCTTCCCTATGAGGATAGACTAGGGCCCTGAATCTGCACTCTCTAGAATGGCGTAGAATTTGGGGGATATGACTGAGGTGTATAAATGGAAAACAGAAATTAATAAAGGGGATGTAAATAGCATGCTAAAAATATTTAACATAGACAGAACTCACAGCAATGGCTTTAAATTGGAAAAAGTCAAATTCAGAAAGGATGTAGGAAAGCACTGGTTTGGTAACAGTTGTGGATGAGTGGAACAAACTCCTGAGTACCGTCATAGACGCTAAGACGTTGTGTAGTTTTAAAATAGGTTGGATAAATACATGAGTGGGTGTTGGTGGGTGTGAGTTGGACCTGATTAGCTTGTGCTACTAGGTCGGGTGCACTGCTCCCTTAAGTGACGTGTCTGACCTCACTAGGTCAAGGCATTGGCTTAAGCCGGTGGGCAAATTGGAGCTGCCTCGCAAAGGCCAGTAGGCCTGTTGCAGTGTTCGTTCTTTCTTATGCTCTTATTCTGGGCAGCGGCGGCACGAGCAATCCGCGGGATCCATGAGGGGAATCGCCACTCGGCTCACAAGTAGCCTAAAGTCAGTACTTGATCAGCCCGGATGTCGTTCGTACACCGGTTTACATGTGGCCAGCATTAACAGCCAGGTATTCTCCAGGTATACTACACTATCACATGTGTCCTCATCACACGCTACACTGACACTTGTATCCTCATCACACACTACACTGACACTTGTTGTGTCCTCACTACATACCACACTAACACTTGTGTCATCACACACCACACTAACACATGTATCCTCATCGCCACACACTACACTAATGTTTTGATTTTTATGCCATAAAGTTAATCTGGTCCCTCCCTTCTCCTGCTTTTATTTAATTTTACATTGATGGAGGGTAACAAAGTTAAACTTTACCCCATTGCAACCAAACTTTATCACAGCCCATAGCAACTGAGTCTGATCTTAGCCCACGACAACATAACTTCATTTTAACTCATGACAGCCAAGCATCTTGGACCCAGAAACAGTAAAAGGTTCATCCATATTTAAATGAGTTGTACACTAACCAGTTTGATGGAGGTCACCTTGCTCTGGGTGGTAGGCTGGGGGCTTGGCACACTCACCTTGCACAAGGTGTCCAGCCGGGATTCCGAAACTGATCGTGTGATGGTCATAGATTGGCTAGTGATGGTGCGGTAGACACTGGGCGTGGCCAGAGGCGTCACAGTGATTCTGCTGTGTAAGGAATGTCGACTGTGCAAGCTGTGAATGCTCTCTGCTGGCCGTGACTTCTCTGTCTCCTCGTCAGGGTACCACGGATGTACTCCCGTCATGGCTATAGTGATCATTGCCTGTGTGGGGATTGGCGAAGTTTAATTAACATGGCTTCAATGTACTCAGCAAGCAAACATTAAATTTTTTTTTTATCAGAACAGCTAGGTGATTAGGTAAGGTTTGTCAAGAAACAGGACAACTGTTTCCTGTCGTGTGACTTAGTCATATGATGACCCGCCATTGGAGCTTTGGGTCATCTGACCGAGGCCTTCTGCTGGCTTACTCCTCCACCCTTCCAAAAATTATGGTTATGATTATACAGTAGACCATCATTTAACACGGTAGTTACGTTCCTCAAAACGTCGTTTTAGCTAAAACCGTGTTAGATAAACTGAAGAACTTATGGGAAAAATAGGGTTACGTTCCTGGGAGCCCCAAAAAAGCCAAACAACTTTTTTAGACCTCCAGATCTTACAAAGATAAAAGTGAAAATGTAATTGTAGTTCATTGTCGTGATGTAATATATTGTTTTTACTGCTTAAAATTACAAATGCAACAGAAATAATAGTACTTCTTTCACTAAATTGTGGGTGCTGGTGTTTGTGGATGATTGTGGAGAGTGGAGAGTTATGCTGTGGCCCTACTGGGCTGAGGTGAATGGTAGAGGTACTGGTACTAAAGTCGAGGGTTGTACTGGAGTGTACATAAATTCTGTAATGGATTTCTGTTTTGTTTTACCCCACAGTACATTATACAACTGACGGTAAGGATCAGCTGCTCTAGACACCGTTTCAGGGACCTCTTCAGTGAAAAGTCTAACTTTAAGTCAGTCAGTAAATCAGTAAAGTCAGTCAGTCAATAAGTCTAGTCAGTAAATCTGTCAGTAAGTCAGTCAGTAAGTTAGTCAATAAATCAGTCAAGTCAGTAAGTCAGCCAGTAAGTCAGTAAATCAGTCAAGTCAGTAAGTCAGTCAGTCAAGTCAGTAAGTCAGTCAGTCAAGTCAGTCAAGTCAGTCAGTCAAGTCAGTATGTCAGTAAGTCAGTCAGTCAAGTCAGTCAAGTCAGTCAGTCAAGTCAGTATGTCGGTAAAGTCAGTAACTCAGTCAAGTTAGTCAGCAAATCAGTCAGTAAATCAATCATCACACAAACTCATGTACCTCATTGTTTTTATGTGCACGAAGTGAGGCTTCATTACGGCCACAGGTTGTCTCTTGTCTCTTGTTAATATCTCTTATTTTCTTCGTTAATTCTAGGACTTAAAGCTTAAACCTTTTCTTACCACTTTCAGCAACACTTTTATGCCTACTAGGTGCCATGATTACTTGGCAGATTTAAGATATGGCAATTAAAAGATATAAACTCCTAGCAGAGGATGGTACGTACTACACACGTATGAACCGAAGACTGGGATAAGGGTAATGGTGGTGGTGGAGGGTGATGGGGGTGGTGGAGCATTGCTGTAGGTCTCTCTCATTGGCTCAATGGCCTAACCCACAGCTAAGCATTGTGTATCACGAGGGCGACAGCTCAAAATTTTTTCCCCTCACGCACACTGAATCGTAAGTTAATTTTACAAAGTGTTATATAAAGATATGCTGCAATTTTTCAATAGTGCTATAACTAAAATGTGACTTACAAAATCGTGTTAAATGACGGTCTACTGCAACTAATGCACTTATACTAGTCAAAATAATATTTCATGAAGTGGGGTTCGAACTCGGGGCAAGTTAGTCTTAAAGCTAGCAGGCCTGGTAGTTTTAAGACCAGTTTGCCATGGGTTCGATGCCAACCTGTTCTATCATTTGTTTGCAATCTTGTCATTACGATTTCATGAGTCATGAAAGGTACGATATTTCCAACACGCCAAATGAAAGCACAAGAACTGAAGCTCAGATCCCACGTAAACTCATCTAGATAAACTCTAGAAACACAAAGAGACAGAGACAGACAGAAATACAAGAAGCATTCACCGTTCTGATGCGTTTGAGGTCGCGCTGAACGTTAGTGTTGAGTTTGTTGGTCTTCCGCTTGAGCGCCAGCGCTAACTTCTTCTCCACTTCATGAACCTGCAGTGACAACATTCATTATTGCACGAAGAGTACATGTTCATGTAGGTGCTGGAGTACATTTTAGACTCTACATGTAGCAGTGAGTTGTTAGTCAGTGGTGGGTTGTGTTTTCTTAGGACAAATGTACACATCAGAATAAAAGTGTTCGCGAGGAGAGCACAAGTAACACTTGTATTTCTTAGTGTTGTGTGAGCATATTAAACAAATTTCATAATTATTCAGTATTGAAACATATTGATCAATCACAATCATAAACGGTAACAAATATTTCTTTAAACTGGAAAAAAAAGTATAATACTGAACAAATAACGTTCTGAAGGTGTGCGGATATTTGCAGTATCAGAACGTCTCTGGCGAGACAGTGATGGAGTGAGTGATGGTAAAAGTGCTTTTTCTTTTTTCGGGTCACTCTACCTTTGTGGGAGACGGCCGTTGTGTTAAAATAACGTTCGTACATAATAAAGCGAGAAAAAATATAAGTAAAGTTAATCGAGATTCTCAAGTTAAAATTAATTTTTAACGAAATAGTAATAAAACTGAGAAAACAAAACAGAATAATTATCAATAAACAGAAAAATTAATGGGGAATCGAACCCTGGTCCATGCATATAAAAAGCTCAAGAGCTGTAACCACTCACCCAGGGAGCTGCTATTTGTGTGGACCACGGTTCGAGTCCTCGTCCATTCTGTTTATCCACAGCGATGCATCTGTATTGTGGCGTGAGGTTTGTGATGATCATCATGACAATAGTGATACCTAAATATTGCATTTCTCTGGGAAAATTTTATCCTCTAGCAACTCGTGCATGATGGATCAGAACCTCGTTATCGTATTGTGACTCAGTTGTAAATTGTTAGAATTACGCTGCTGACTTCGTCTTCTACATCCTTGCAGGTTATTGTTTACCCTCAGTCACGTTATCTTTGATATAATAGTTATTTTAATAATAATAATAATTATAATAATAATAATAATAATAATAATAATAATAATAATAATAATAATAATAATAAATAATAATTATTAATTATTATTATTATTATTATTATTATTATAGAAGTAATTAATTCAGATTTAGTATATTAGTAGTTAGGCTAGTTAAGCTTTATTATCACATCACGAAATGGGTGGGACTCGAAGTGACATTAAGATGCATGACTTCATGTAACGGTATTTTTGCCTTGGTGAGAAGAGAAAGTTGCTAGTTAACTGTTTTACTTTAGGGTAAGAGACAGAAAGTTGCTAGTGAACCGTTTTACTTTCATAAGGAGGGACGGCTATCAGTTAAATGTTTTATCTTGGGGAGGAAGATTCGGCTTTTCTTCAGGAACTTATTATTATTGTACATTGAGGGCAGATGGAATATAAACATACCTGTTTGGACCGGAGAGCTTTCTGAATGAACGTGATGATCATAATGATGTATCCCACACCCATGAAGATCCACATTACCATCACTATCTTGTACACCCACAGCCACACTTGCTCCTTCTCCTGCAGACCTGGAAGTACCACTACTATTAGAAGATTTAGATATTGTTACATATAAATGTAAGGAGAATCTCCACGTTTGTGGAGTTTTGGCTATTATGATTTTCCCCGAGTGACGGAATCTCCGAGCTAGATTAGGACTATTGATTTTACAGTTGAATTTTCAGGCTAAGATCTGTTATTCTACCTTAGAGAAAAGAAATATATACTAGCCCTCTCCTACCAGGTTGCAACCCATAACAGTCACTAATCACCAGAGTACTTATTTACAGCCTATCAATGGGGTCATAGGATGTAATGTAATCACAGATTTATGTTTGTAGAGGTCGAGTCTCAGTCCCCGACCCTGTCTATTAAGATGTTTTGATAAGTATTAGCGATTTCTTGCCTCTTCGCTATTTGCCTCTGCCACGTCAGTATCCAGGTCACTCCGTTATTCAACGACCTCAGAATAAAGAAGTATTACCTAACATCCCTGTGTCTTCAGTGTCCACCTGCCTACCTTTACGTCTGATCCTATTATTTCAAATAATCTACCATTATCTTCTCTATCAGTACCTCTACTAAGGTGGTTAGGTTCGAATCCTTCCATTTGTGCCCAAGGTGCATTTTTCTCAGTTCTCTAACTAGTCTATTTACGAGCTTTTGGACAGTTTCTGTATCAGCACATCTTTGACGGGATGTGCGCTCTATGCAGGAGCCACTTCCTTGATATATAATTAGTTTTAACTTGGGTAGAGTATTAAATTCTGAAGCATTCTTGTTCAGGTTCCTGGTTTGCTAGTCTCTAATATGCGACTGAAAACATATGATTTATGTATACTTTCGGTGATATTTTTGATATGATAATCTCCAGATACATTTCTCCTACTATTTCTATTTTACACCCTTGGTTGTGCTCTGTCTCTAGTCTTCCCTTTCCTTCTCCACTCTACATACCCATGGATTTATTTACCTTGAACTCCAGTAGCCACAAATTGAACTAAGGATGCAGCCCATCTCTGTTCTCTCATTTTCCTCTCCCTTTCATTAATTTTATATCGTAAAACAATGAAGAGGGCAAGTCATTCATATGTATTAGGAACAATAGCAATTCTAGCATTGATTCTTATGGGGCCCCATTCGTTACTCTTTACTATCCTAATATCTCGTCATTCTTTGTTACTCTCTTCTGTGTTACAAGTTCTCCATGATTTTATAACAAGTAAGATTTGTCTCACCTGCGACGCGGTCTCCGAAGCCGATGGTGGTAAGGGTGATGACGGAGAAGTAGAAGGCGTCAAGAAAGTCCCAGTCTTCTTCGACGTGGGTGAGCACAGCAGACGGCACAAGCAGGAAGATCACCATCCCAGGCACCAGGTAGAGCACAGTATCCGTCGCTACACTAACCCACGAATGATATCGCTTGGCGTACCTCCTCACCTGAGAGTTCACCACCTGTACCAGAAATAATATCTTCAGAGATCGCTCTCGCCCGCGCCAGGATTGCCTGCGTCGTTGTATGTATGTATGTGTGCTCACCAAGTGGTTGTTTGAGGGGTCGAACCCTGGCTCCTGGAAGCGCTGAGCCCATGGGGGTTCGTATAGGAACCCTTATAAGAATAGGAGGTACACGATTTTCAAATGAGGAAAGGATCAATTACTCAAGAAAAATATAAGTATTATTTTTATTCAAGAATTGTTTGGGTTAGAACCAATGTACGATGTTATAATTCAGCTGATGTAGGTCCAGGACTGACAACCTGGCCGACGTCCCAGCCTGAGCCTAGAGATGGGAATAGACATACGTCCACGGCTGACAAACTGACCGATGTCCAACCTAACTCTTATGATCAACGGCTGACGACCTAGCCGGAGCTCTAACCTGACTTTATAACTCTGACTAGACCTAAATCAAAATCTGACAACGAAAATGTTCAGTGAAGGTCGTACCATTCAAAGGAAAACATTGTATTATCTGTTAAAAATTAGATTTTTCAGAGGAGGGGATGAACTGATGCCGGTGAAGAGCTCATGCTTCAGAAAAATGGGGCAACCATCCTCTTCCTCGTGTCACACTTTATTACCCTCTAACCACTCCCATCCCTCTAGCACTGTGTCACATGGGTTTTGCGTTCCATGTATATGTATGTTGAATTTTGCAATTGTACTGTGTTCGAAATGATGAGACTGACCACCTCAAACTATTTCTCGAAAGTTGATGGACTAATTACATCTTTATATCGCCACTGTTCACTGTTCCTCTGTATTTGACTGATGAAGCCTACCATGTAGATGAAACGCTTCAACAGTCAAGATATCCAACTAACTGTTTCACATGTGTCTTATTCAACACCTTGTCGGCATTTGACATATCTGTTAAGACATGACTGGCTACCTGACATGACTTAAGGGATCTTCGCTAGGGGTTGTATGAGGCTCTCACCTGACTAGGCGCGCCCTCCCCTGACTCACCTTGGAGGAGAAGAGATCTGCCAGGTAAGCGACAACGATGCCGTTGAAAGGAACGCCGATGAAGGCGTACAGGATGCAGAACACACGTCCCCACGCCGTCGCCGGGTACATGTGACCGAAGCCTGAAGGAGGAAGAACAGATAGAAGTCCAGTCAGCAGAGGGAAGCTTCGTCAGGAGAGTTTTTAGATTTTTTAGATTTTGCCACCGAAGTGGCTAGTTTATTGTGCACCCCATATCCATCCCGTGGACGGTAGAGCAAGAACATATGGCTACACAAAAGGCCTAGGAACTAGGCCCCGAAATTGTTAACAGGTGTACATTTGGATTTATATCTACAGTTCACTTATCTGTTACAAGCAAATTTAGGAAATTTGCTTAGTATATCTGGTATCTTATTTTCATTAATAAGATATCTTGACATGTCACATAGGTTGTTATACTGTTTATCTCTATATTCCTCAATAAGTGGACAATTAAATACATAGTGTTCAAGAGAGTGACCATAGGCCTGACCAAATAATTTGCATTTGGCTTGATCATCATCTGTGTATTTCCCAAACTTTCAGAAGTACTTGTAACCAAGCCTAAGCCTTGCCACTACAACATCAGTCAGTCTGTTCACATTGCAAGTTGCTCCATAAATATACTTATCTACGTTCATGTTATCATAGTGGGTTATAGATCTACTCAGGCTTCTAATTGCATTCCTATAATATCCATTTTCATAATTTGCTTCTCTCCTATTATTCCTAATGCTAAACACAGATATACCATTCTCCTTCAGGGTACTCTTCTTGGCTAACATAGCAACTTTATCATGAAGGAGTAATCCAATGTGTGATGGGATCCACAGCAATTGTACATTAATTCCTTTTTCCCGGATTAATGAGTATCAATACCTGGCTTCTCCAGTGAGCATGTTGTTAGTCATTATATGAGTCAAGAGCCTTCAGTGACGACAAAGTCAGTAATGATGATAGAGTCAAGCTCAGTGTCATAAGTTAGCTTTAGCACCATTAGGATTGCAAACAATTCACTTTGCAGTGTAGACGCCCAGTTGATAATTCTTATGCCTGACTCAACAAATTTATTATCGTTCTTAACTAAGGAGGTGACAACAAGAGCAGATACAGCCCTGCCAGAAGACTCCTGCTTAGACCCATCAGTGTATATGTCAGGAGGTGCAAAGAGTTTCGCCATCGGGTGTGAGGATTAGTCAGAAGGGAAAGCGAGGAGATTGACAAGCGGGTGGAAGCCTTCGCCAGGAGGACCAGGGGGTTTAGTGACCAAATGGAGGTTTCGTGAGGAAGAAGGCTTTAGTCAGAGCAATAATAATAATAATAATAATATGCAAAACAATCACTGTGAAAAAAATAGTGAAATTTCAAGCGCTTTCGTGATTTTTCACATTATCAAGGAACAGTTCCTTCATAATGTGAAAAATCACCTGTTTACTGTGATCTTATTGCAGTAACAACAAGAAGGGATGGAAACTCGATCCTCCGTCCACTAATGTTTTCAGCCAGCTAAGTAGATGAGCAGTGTTTGTGGGGAGGGGCGGGGATTTTATCAACAAGATGGAGGACTCATCTGCAGTACGATTAGAATCTGGAAGTAGGATTCTACTTAAATTAAGTATAATTCACTCATTTAGCTGAGAAGGAGGAGAAAGATTATGTCATAACTACAAGGAGAACTTCGTGAGAAGAAGGAAGGGAGGAGAGCTTCCCGAGAAGGAGGGGGAGGAAGAGCTTCTTGAGAAGGGGAAGGGGAGGAGAGCTTCCTGAGAATGAGGAGGGACAGGAGAGCTTATTTAGAAGATGGAGTAAAACTTCCTCAAGAGAAGGAAGAGGATAAGAGCTTTCGCCGAAGGAGAAAAAGACATAGGTCTTCCTCAGCGGAAAGATAGATGGATGCCTTGTCAGGAGAAAAAGGAGGAATAACTCAAAGAAAGATTTCAAAAGGAAGATGAGCAGTAATGGAAAATCCTCAGAGTCTGAAAACGTAAAGAAAAGAAAGAGAAGAGGAGTAATAAAAAACGAAAGATAAGAGGATGACTTACCGATTGTGGTGATGACAGTGAAGGTGAAGAAGAATGAATTCCAGAGACTCCAGGTCAGAGGGTCGTCCATGACGTGTTGCAGGAAGTCATGACCACACTCCTCACCCACCGCCTTCAACAGATCCTCCACCTCTCCCCGAGAACTGTTGTCCAGGCTCCACAGTACCTCTGTCAAAGGAACAGTTTATAATTATCTTACTACTGGAGAGAGAGTCGTTTCCCTGAATGAATCTGCCTGGACTTCCTGCTCATTTCTGCAACATTGCAAGCTTCTGAAGTGCTGATTACAACAAGAAAGGTTTAAAGTTATTCAATTCCCCTTGTGATTATTTTGCATGTTTTATAGCTCGTTCGCGATTATTGCATAATATATATATTTGCACATATCATAAAACTAACCAGTAAGCTGCTACTTATCATATAACTAACCAATAAGCTGCTACTTATCATATAACTAACCAATAAGCTGCTACTTGTCATATAACTAACCAGTAAGCTGCTACTTATCATATAACTAACCAATAAGCTGCTACTTGTCATATAACTAACCAATAAGCTGCTACTTGTCATATAACTAACCAATAAGCTGCTACTTATCATATAACTAACCAATAAGCTGCTACTTATCATATAATTAACCAATAAGCTGCTACTTGTCATATAAGTGACCAGTGATGCTGAAGGTTTCACTCACCAGTGACGTAGGTCTTCAGTGCCATCAAGTTTTCCCGCTGGGAGAGCTCATGGTCACCTTCCAGGTGGATGAAGACGATAGCTCCAAGCAACATAAACAAGACATAGATCCCCAACAACACCAGCCACTCCTTGAAACTCATCTTGATTGTTTTCTATTGTATATATCACAGATGTTAAAGTTTTCAGTATTGCAATATGTAACACTTTTATATTCTACGAGTCACAACAATTTTTTTTTTACATACATATCAATGGTTCGTTCTTTTTAAATACAACTATTTTCATGAAAATGGATCCTTGTAGCCGGGAGAATACCGGCGAATAAAAAAAAAAAACAGAAACATTAGCTTAAGGTCGAATCGTGGAATAAAACTCATGCAAATTCAGTGGTGATCCTGCCGTATCTATGGTATCTGAAGTCACAATGAAAGGCACGTATTAAACTGAAACAGCGATGTCTCTCGTAATGAATGCATGTGCAGCATCTCCGTGTGCTATGACAACTGGTACACCCAGAGACAAGAGAAGTCACGTGTAGATGATAGGAGCATTTACTGGTGCCAGTGCAGATTGGAGGAGCAAGTAACTTAGCTCTGTCATCACACAGGGACGTCACGGGTACAGCTGTCTCCCTGCAAGTGGACAAGTTATAATTATAAGTCGGATATTTATAAGTGTATTCATCCAAAAAATATGAATCAGCGCTGGAGACTCACTAAGGTACTTGTGGGATTCTAATGCTCCAAGGCTCTGGACTTCAATACTTTCTTGTTATTGTAAACGTTACAGTCATAATCAAGAAAAATAAGTTGCTACTTATGTACTGGTATGTACTGCTACTTGTGTACAGTCATAATAAAGAATGATTGGAATACATTAAGTTGCCCTGTATATTTCTGAGTATCAGGGAACACGGATAAAAAGTGGATTAGAATTGTCTTGGCCTTCCTAGACCAAGCCATGTACACCCGAGAGGTCCTTCAGTCCTTAATTTTTTTTTTTGATCTGGTCGTTGTATTGTAGTTCGCAGAGAGAGAGAGAGAGAGAGAGGTCTCCAGACCTTATTTATATAGAAATTGTCATTTTTATTTTCTTGTAAACACAAAAATCAGAGACAAGAGGGACCTGGATATTTCATTAACTCAAGTAATGCAAAATCATAAATAAGTTATATTATTGCCGTGCAGCATTTAGTGACTGGATGCGTGTAACTTTGTTTAAAGGAAAATGGACCTGAATGTATGCAATTAGGGCACCTTTACTGAAAACGTTTTGCTTCTGAGACCTTAATAACTTCAAATATAATGAAAGTAGGAAGTCATCAAGCTCCTAATTGTGTGAATTCATGCCCATTTCCTTCTAGTTGTCAGTATTCACTGCTGTTGATCAGTAAGAGGTTCAAGTAAACACGAAGTTCGTGGTGATAACTTTATTGATTGACCGAGAAAATACACAAGACGTCGTAAAATATATTACACTGGACACAAGAGGTACTTGGTAAATTTATCATAGTATCTGGTGCTCTCAATACACTCGTTGCTGGAACCATTGCGTCATATACACGTAGTCATGAAATCACAGTTTCTCACAACACTTTCTCACATCATTGTATCACTGTCTCACAACACTATCAATAGTTCACTGTATCTCGCAACACTAGCACTAGTATATTATATCTCACAACACTGTATCACTGATTCACAGTCCTTCACAACACTCACTGGTTCACCACGTCTCATATAAGTAACACTGAGTTGCAGTTCATGATAATATGTCACTGGTTCACTGTGAGAAAAGGTTAGCATATTTTTTTTCCAAAGTAAATTTATACAGGAAAGTACATTGGAGAGATTAATAAGGATGGAAAACATTGATATCAAATGGATTTGTAAGTTAAGACACAGAGATCAGAGGATAATTAAGGAGGAAGGGGTATTAAAGAACTTGAGAAATATTTTGAGAAACTGGTGATCGTAAATTATTAAACGAAGATAAAGAGTTCCGTTATGGGACAGGGACGAATAAGAATTTTTAATATGGAAGAACGGGAAGTGAATATGGAATAAGTGGTACAGACAATAAGTAGGTTAAAAATGGATAACACTTTAGGATGGGATCTACTTACTGAGAGGTGTATATATTTCGGAGTTTAACCCCTATTTCAGTTATTGAAGTATTCTTGTCTGGTGTTGAAAAGGTTACCTGAGGCCTTAATGGCCCTATTGTAGTCGATAGGCTTTAATCCCCATTAATCAACCAGATAAGAGCATCAGAGGTGGATGGGATTAAGACTTAAAATACTGAAATCAGGTTTGTATTTGGTCATCGTACATACTAAAAAAAAGGGAATCTAAGGAAGAGAGAGAAGCATAATTCCCATGTGAGGGAGAAACGAGCAAATGATAGAATAAGAATGATAGACTAATAATTCTCTTGAGTATACCAGTAATGTACATGGGAGAATTGTTCTAAAAATAGTTATGGGGAAGATGCCAGGAAATAATTACAGTGATAGAAGGTGATACTAGCAAGAAGAGGGAGTGTTTTTAGAATTAATGTTGTAAGTAGCACCTATATAAGAAAAAGCGATAATTTATTACCTACGTGGATATTAAAAGCGGCATACGAACTGAATATGAATGGAAAGCGATTTGCCAGGTTTTGCAAATGTATGAAATGAAAATAAAAGGTTAAGTTGCTAGTAGCTGTGAGGTATTTTTAATGAGGAGACTAAGTCTGGATCTTTATTATGTAGACTGGTAGTAAAGTGAATATTAGATGAGTGTTGTTGTTAAGATTATTTATTGATGGAATAGTAATCTGAGTAAATTGAATGAGTGGTGCTAGTGGCAGGAAGAGGTATAGGCATATCAAATAATGATTCCTGTATAAAGTAGGAGCATACAGAATTGCTCTTTGCGGATGACTTCAAACCAGGCATAAAAACAGAGGCAGAGAAACAATGTTTCCTGACCATAACGACATCATTCAGAGAGCTTTCTCGTTAAGCATTCAGAGAGTTGTCTCTTTAACGACAGAGACACTCATGGAAATCATCGTACAAATTCTCCTCTTAATCCGTTACTGGATATACCTTTGGATATCTTTTAAGTGATAGGTCTCTGTCTTGGGACCTTAGTCACTCAATCTTTATTAAATGAAAGAGCCTAATAAGAGGGTAAGACACGTAACCATAAACAGGAAAGATAGTGAGACTTAAACTTTACTCTGGAAGATCTGAACAATAAAGACAAACAAACTTTAACAAAGAAAGATAATGAGGTGTTAAAAGTCAAGGTTGCCAGCCCGCCCGTGTGTGTCCAGCCAGCTGCACAGGACCTGTTCCCTTGAAACCCACAGTATGAAAACAAAAAAAAGATTCATCTGTTGCAAATTCCCTACCGTAATTATTAACAAGGAGACGCGTTAAACCTGTAGAGAGCATATGGCGCCTTTTCAATTGGAGGTAACCTGGTTTGATCCACGCAAGTGGCGGGTAGCACCAGTTCCTTCGATAAACTTTCCTCCACCAGCATCAAAGCCTCCTTACTCCTACCCCATCTACTTCTCTCCCTCCCACTACCCCGCTCCCTTTCCCTTTTCCTTCAAGGGTTAACCAGAAAAGTAACCTATTAATTTACCTTGAACCTTTTTCTGCGGAAATTCCAGCGTGCATGTACTATACCTGACTGACTAGCTGCCAACAGTGGAAGTGAGAGATGTCGAAAACCCGATCTTGTCCAGCATAATGAGATTGCTACTTGGCAAGAGGCTATCATTATTTCCGTATAATGTATGAAAAACAATGACGAAGTTTCAACATCAGAAAAGCATGGAAAACCTGACACAGTTATTACCTTAGTCTTAAGGTGGCGTGATCCTTCACTCTCATGACATGCCATCTGATTTTATATGAATTTCTGTAAATTCTATTCATTTCTTCTATATATATATATATATATATATATATATATATATATATATATATATATATATATATATATATATATATATATATATATAATATGCAAAAACAACCACTCTGAAAGAATAGAGAAATTCCAAGCGCTTTCGTGACTACTCACATTAATGTGAGTAGTCACGAAAGCACTTGGAATTTCTCTATTCTTTCAGAGTGGTTGTTTTGCATATTCTGAAATCACCTGTTTACTGTGATCTTATGCATATATATATATTATATTATATATATATATATATATATATATATATATATATATATATATATATGGTAGACAGCAACCGCCCAGGGAGATACTCCGTCCTGCCAGATGAGTGTAAAACTGAAGCCTGTAATTGTTTTACACGATGGTAGGATTGCTGGTGTCTTTTTTTTCTGTCTCATACACATGCAAGATTTCAGGTAAGTCTTGCTACTTCTACTTACACTTAGGTCACACTACACATACATGTACAAGCATATATATACACGCCCTTCTGGGTTTTCTTTCTAGTTCTTGTCCTTGTTTATTTCCTCTTACCTCCATGGGGAAGTGGAACAGAATTCTTCCTCCGTAAGCCATGCGTGTTGTAAGAGGCGACTAAAATGCCGGGAGCAAGGGGCTAGTAGCCCCTTCTCCTGTATATGTTACTAAATGTAAAAGGAGAAACTTTCGTTTTTCCTTTTGGGCCACCCTGCCTCGGTGGGATACGGCCGGTGTGTTGAAAGATAATATATATATATATATATATAATATATATATATATTATATATATATAATATATATATATATATTATATATATATTATAATATATATATATATATATATATATATATATATATATGCAATAAGATCACAGTAAACAGGTGATTTCAGAATATGCAAAACAACCACTGTGAAAGAATATAGAAATTCCAAGCGCTTTCGTGACTACTCACATTATCAAGGAACAATCACTGTTCCTTGATAATGTGAGTAGTCACGAAAGCGCTAGGAATTTCTATATTCTTTCACAGTGATTGTTTTGCACACACACACACACACACACACACACACACACACACACACACGAATAACGGAAGGGATAGACTCAGAAGTGTCCTTGTTTGCAGATGATGTGAAGTTAATGAGAAGAATCAAATCGGATGAGGATCAGGCAGGACTACAAAGAGACCTGGACAGGCTACAAGCCTGGTCCAGCAACTGGCTCCTTGAGTTTAACCCTGCCAAATGCAAAGTCATGAAGATTGGGGAAGGGCAAAGAAGACCGCAGACACAATATAGTTTAGATGGCCAAAGACTGCAAACCTCACTCAAGGAAAAAGATCTGGGGGTGAGTATATAAACACCGAGCATATCTCCTGAGGCGCACATAAATCAGATAACTGCTGCAGCATACGGGCGCCTGGCAAAACCTACGGATAGCGTTCCGATACCTCAGTAAGGAGTCGTTCAAGACACTGTATACCATTTACGTCAGGCCCATACTGGAGTATGCAGCACCAGTTTGGAATCCACACCTAGTCAAGCACGTCAAGAAATTAGAGAAAGTGCAAAGGTTTGCAACTAGACTAGTCCCAGAGCTACGGGGATTGTCCTACGAAGAAAGGTTGAGGGAAATCGGCCTGACGACACTGGAGGCCAGGAGGGTCAGGGGAGACATGATAACGAC